AGAAAAAATAGCAAATTAGACTTTTAATATATTTTGTATACAGTTAGCTATCTATGGAAAATTTATCATTATAATAAATTTTTTATAGATAGTTAACTGTATACAAAATATATTGAAAGTCAGATTGGCTTTTTTTTCTTGGCAGCACTCATATATGGAATTATTTTTGTTATCATTATATGATCATAACCAATTAGCATAATAAGAGATAATCCTGTCAAAGATTCATGTCAGAGTGTGATAGTAATACCAATAGCTTTACAAAAAAAGATAGTAATTAGTTAAAGATTAGAAAAACAAAACATATAAAAGTGCATAATTTTTGACATATAAAAATAAAATTTCTTTAAAGTTTTTTTAAAAATCTAAATTCTTGATAGCTACCTTACAAAATTTTATTTAATAAAATCATAATAATACTTACAGATATTTTTTATTCTTAAATTTTTTAATATTTATTTTTTTAATATGTCAGAATCCAAAAAAGCTAAACACATTGATGAAAAAACTATTTGTAGTTATCCATTAAAGCCAATTTGAAATTTTACAATAGAGGCAAACAACTGGATAATTCAGGCCATTATGAAGCAATTTGTAAAGTATATGAAAAATTATTTTCATCTAGAAAACTATCAATAATAGAAAACTATATTATTAGTGAATATAAACTTGTTTCTGAAAAAGTAAAAGAAGCAGTTATATATATTGTTAATTCTTATAAAAAAATATCAAGTAATAGTAGAACTAAATATTCAAATAAACTAATAAGTTAGATGAATTTTTGGAAAGTACAGCTATATCAGAAAAACTCATTGAATCAATAAATAGAGCACTTATTAAAGTATTTGTATGTTGTAGATTGCCTTGAAGACTTATTGAGTATCCATTTTTTATTGAATTTTTAAAACACCTTCGCCTTGCTTATATACTACCTAGTAAAAAATTTATTGCAAAAGATTTATAAATAAATAAAATAATAAGAGTTGATACAAATTTATATAAATTATTAAAAAAATTTAAAAAATTTAACATTAGATATTTAATTTTATTTATATATTTTTTAATTTAATTTATAAATTAGTTATTCTTATATTTAAATAAGCTACTACTAAAAACAAAATATTTTTACTAATAGAAGTGTGGTAACTTGGTGTAGTTGTCTAGTCGTCACCCTCTCCAAGTAGCAGGTCTAGAGTTCAAATCTCACTGGTGACGATATTTGAATAATAGCATGTGTCTCAGTTTACGGTTGTTGATTATCGGTTGGATCAAATCTGTAATCCAGTCACACTATCTAGTTATGAAAGCTTTGGTGCAATAAATCCAAGGAACCAGAATAACTGAAAACCCATTTGGCAAGTCTCGAGTTTGGAGGTAGTAGCAATCTATGACAGTATTACAGGAGGGCTAAATTCGAACCGGGGCCTGAGATCAGAAAACTGAGCAACCAGGTTCTAATAGTGGAGAACATACTAGCTGAACCACTGGTTGTCACACCAGAGGAAAAGGACATATGCTCCAAAAGTATGGACCAAGGGGAGGGCGTCCTTCAGACACCTAATGCCTGGGCAGACAAACTC